CTTCAGTCTTCTATCTGACCTCCGGCCTTCCCTTCAGTCTTCTATCTGACCTCCGGCCTTCCCTTCAGTCTTCTATCTGACCTCCGGCCTTCCCTTCAGTCTTCTATCTGACCTCCGGCCTTCCCTTCAGTCTTCTATCTGACCTCCGGCCTTCCCTTCAGTCTTCTATCTGACCTCCGGCCTTCCCTTCAGTCTTCTATCTGACCTCCGGCCTTCCCTTCAGTCTTCTATCTGACCTCCGGCCTTCCCTTCAGTCTTCTATCTGACCTCCGGCCTTCCCTTCAGTCTTCTATCTGACCTCCGGCCTTCCCTTCAGTCTTCTATCTGACCTCCGGCCTTCCCTTCAGTCTTCTATCTGACCTCCGGCCTTCCCTTCAGTCTTCTATCTGACCTCCGGCCTTCCCTTCAGTCTTCTATCTGACCTCCGGCCTTCCCTTCAGTCTTCTATCTGACCTCCGGCCTTCCCTTCAGTCTTCTATCTGACCTCCGGCCTTCCCTTCAGTCTTCTATCTGACCTCCGGCCTTCCCTTCAGTCTTCTATCTGACCTCCGGCCTTCCCTTCAGTCTTCTATCTGACCTCCGGCCTTCCCTTCAGTCTTCTATCTGACCTCCGGCCTTCCCTTCAGTCTTCTATCTGTCCTCCGTCCTCCCCTTCAGTCTTGCACAATTGTACCGGCTCTCTCGATGTGCAATAGAAGCTGCAGCAAGTCAGATAGAGCCCGCCCCATTTCCTGGCTGGAGGACGTCCAGCATCGTCTAGCGCTTTCCTCCCCGGCCTGACCCTTTCATTCATTGGATTTCAGCTCTTTCAATCATGGAGGCTCAGTATCACATGTGGGCTTTACCTAGGGCAATTGAAGCCTGCTAGTCCCGCCCACTTCTCCAGACTGACACCCGCCCATCAAGGCAGGTTGATATTTGCATAACTCCTCCACTGCTTGCATCAGGTCTGAGGGCTCTTGAGAGGACTACTGGGGCAGGGTGCTGTGATGTATTCAGGAAGCTTTGTACAGCACCCTGCCGGCCCCTCCCACCAGCCATGATCTGCCTGCATTGCATACAGAAAAACAGAGGCTCAGTTATGACATCACTGGATCTATAATTAGGTCTGTAATGAAAATAAGGAAGTTATGTTGATGAGAGGGGCCGATCCGGGAAAAGACAAATATAAGCAGATTCACCTTGAGCTTTAAACGCATACATTTTTGGAGAGAGGAAGCCGGAGTCTGTGACAGGTAGTACCAGGGACCTCCGGGGAACTCGGTCCCTATAGCTGGCGCTGTACATTACACACCCATTTCACTCTGATTTACTTCCTTCTGATCCAGATTAGATAATCCGGGAGAGTTCTACACCAAAGGGGTTATTAGTCCAAATTCTACCGAGATAACGGCGCTATTTTCAGAGGGTAATAAGAGGAAGATAGGAGTCTCCTTCCTTATCATGGGGAAAGCTGCCATCACCCCTCCCCCCCTTCGTCACTGCCCTGCGGACAGTAAAGGATCATTAGTGCTTATTGGCCAAAGGAGGAAATATTATTACGTACTGTTCCCCAGCTTCTGCAGCCAGGGAAGGACAGCTCAGAAGGTGGAAGTGATTAAATCGCCGCTTCCGGTTTCATTCAGTGGGGAGGAGATCAGCAAATGAACGTCCGCTGGCCTCTCTCCCCTCTACCCTCTGACGCCTGCGATGCCAGTCCTGAGCCCACAGGAGGGGCAACAGAGCCTGGGAAGCACGGTGGGGGTGTCAGGCGGGGGCAGCTGTCCCACCCAAATAGTTTCCAGTTTAAAGCCAGCGGTGGGCTTTACACAGGTAAACAGCCGCAGGGAGTCTCTTTACAGGGGCCCACCGCTGCCGGCATATTAATATCATTATTATTATACAGGATTTATAGAGCGCCAACAGTTTGCGCAGCGCTTTACAATATAAGGATGACATTACAGTCACAATACTATTCAAGACAAGATGGTAAGGAGGGCCCTGCGCCTGAGGGCTTGCAATCTAAAAGGGAGGGGGAAGTGATACACGAGGAGAGGTGGCTGTGTGGGGATGAATTGTTTGAGAATGACATACATCACTGGCGGTGAAGGGGTTAAAGCAAGTTAAACCAATTTCAGACCACGGCCTATGACATTTGCCGGAGGTATAAAAAAAATCCAGTTGCTAATAATCCCGAAAAACTGCCAGCACAATGGTTCTGTGTGAATTGACCAACATTGACTCTCAATTTTGGGGATTTTTCACACAACATATTCACAGATCAGACATAACATTGGCTCATTGATGGACGTGGGGAGGGAAGGTTGGCCCATGTAGTCCGATACAATAGAAGAGCTACTGGAGCACACATTGCTGGTAAAGTGAATGTTGGTTCTGATAGAAAGGTGTCTGAACACACAGAGCATCGCAGGTTGTTGTGTATGGGGCTGTGTAGCTGCAGAGCGGTCAGGGTGCCCATGGTAACCCGTGCCCTGGTCTGATGAATCATGTTTTCTATTACATCATGTGAATGGCCGGGTGGGTGTGTGTCACTTACCTGGGGAAGAGATGGCACCAGGATGCACTATAGGAAGAAGACAAGTCGGCGGAGGCAGTGTGATGCTTTGGGCAATGTTCTGCTGGGAAACCTCGGGTCCTGCCATTCATGTGGATGCACCACTGACCTAAACATTGTTACTGACCAAGTCCCCCCCCCCTTCATGGAAACGGTATTCCATGATGGCAGTGACCTCTTCAGCAGGATAATGCGCTCTGCCACACTGCACACATGGTTGAAGAATGGTTTGAGGAACACAACAACGAGTTTGAGGTGATGACTCGGCCTCCAAATTCCCCAGATCTCAATCCTATCGATCATTTGTGGGATGTGCTGGAAAAACAAGTCCGATCCATGGAGGCCGATCACCTCACACCTTACAGGACTTACAGGATCTGCTACTGACGGCTTGGTGCCAGATACCACAGCACACCTTCAGAGGTCTAGTGGAGTCCATGCCTGGACGGGTCTGGAAAAGGGGGACCTACTCAATATTAGGTGGCTAGTCATAATGTTATGGCTGATTGGTTTATAAAGCTGTGATGGTTGTGCAAATGGGGAAAAATCTAATATTGTTCAGGTATTTTTCTCCTCTGATCAAATGTTTTTAGAGTATTTTTCTTCCAGTCCAATGTTCTTAGGGTATGGGGTGTGCAGGAGCGAGTTGGTTTTCCCATTAAACAGGCTGCTGTGTAAGGATGGGCCGAGTGTTCGATTCGAACATGAGTTTGAATCGAACATCGGCAGTTCGAGCGCTCGCCGAGCGCAGAACTTTATGGGATGTTCGCAGTTTGTTCGACCGCGTACATTCCATAATACAAAATGCCCACTAAAGCTCTGATTGGGCAAAGTCTTGCTCCTGACCACAGGTCAGGTGCAAGACTTTGCCCAATCAGGGCTCAGCGGAGGAGGGGCCTGACCAGGGGACCGGAGGCCGGGACAGCAGCGGAGGTAAGGGGGCCAGTACACTGTATTTATTACATGTACCGGCAACTGTATGGGGGTCGAACATTCGACCCCCATACACTTGCATTGAGTTCGAGTTCGTATTCGAACATTTCGGCCATTCGAATGTTCGAATACGAACCAAACAGGGGGGTGTTCGGCTCATCCCTACTGCTGTGTGAGTAGCAGACTTTATACCAGGGCTGCCTACCCCTGCCACCAAGATCCCATTGCAGGGCATCTGAGAATGGAGAGTGAGAGGAGATCCATTTCCTCTTAATTGAATGAACATGGAACCACTCAGCCCTGAGACTGTCCCAATACAGAGCTTCTGGCTGCACGTGTTTCGAGCCAGCTGAGTTGCAGATTGGAGGCCTTGTGTCCTATGACTACAGTGGGGAAGATCTGGCTGCATATTAATAGAATGTGTTATCATTTCCAGCCGGCAGGTGGAGCTTTAGCCTCCTTTTTGCATGGTTCCCGTAGCACCTTCCCTCCTGTTGTCAAGAGAATGTTGCTCACAGAGCACAATAGCTCAAACGAGTAAATGAGTCAAAGAAGTCACTTTATGTTGCCTTAAGAACCCTGCGAAGCCACATCTACATCTGTGATGCTGTCCTTCACCATAACTTTGAGAGACGGAACTACATGTCTGGAGTGCTGGTGACTTTGCATCCCTTGCGTGCAAGGGATGAAGACTTCCAAAACCGGTTTGAATCTGATGACTGGGAGAAACGTCCTAATAAGATTTTTTTTCCACAGCAGGTTTGTTTTATGGGGGGGGTTTGAGAATTTCTCTCCTACATTACATGCAGGGGGTTCTTAGATGACCCTTCAAGGGACTGTGGTGCACCAGAGCAAGGCCTGGAGGGCAAACCGGAGCTCTGGGCTGGGTGTGACACCCGTCTGGGCCCTCAAGGATTAATCTTCATTGTGAATGGATTGTCCCTATAAGTGGCCAGTGGCATCCTGTACAATGATTATGGTATTCAGTATACGTCAAGGAAAGCGATACTGGTATCTCGTGACTGATATCAACTAACTAGAAGATAGAAAAGGGCGTCAGCCATGAAAAGCCATGTGATCGCATACGTGTTAGAGAAGGCTGAAGTCACTTTATTGTGCTGATAAACGATCCCATAATAACGGGAAAGACCTTATGTGGAGATAGGGAGCGGGGGTATTGGAGGAGCACCAGGGAAGGTCATTCCCACCATTAGATTCTTTGTTTACATTTTTTTTTTCACTCTTGTTGGCCGTCATCAGCAATTTACACCTCTCATAGCAGCTTTAGGATTATTACTTGATTTTTAGATTACTTTCCAAAAGCGCAGATTCTTTGTTGCAATTCGTCATCAGCAATTATCTCCTTGTCGCCATTGTTTGACCTCTCCTCGTTATCCATGGCTCCCTCCCTCCTCCGCCTAGACCCGTCCCCCAACTGCGGCTGATAACTTCCATGAACTTTGCCCATCTCCTTATCATTAAACCAACATACAGTGAGCGGACGGGACAGACAAAGGATCTACGGAGAGTTAACATTGGGTTCTCCATCCCTGGGGTGCCGCCGAAATGTGCACGGGGAAATGTTCTCGATTCGTCGGGCTGGCGCTCTTGCCCTTGGCGTTTATAGCCATCATCGTCAACCTCTTACTGATATTTCCTAACGGGGAGACCAAATGGACCAACAACATCACTATGCAAGTCTGGCTGATGGCGGGAATAGGAGGCGCCGGATTATTTGTGAGTAACAGGATAACAGTTTATATATAATGACGCCAAGAAAAGGGCCTTTGAGTCTGTCCTCCTACTGCAGGGTGATACAGACAGAAGGGGGCTATGAGTCTGTCCTCCTACTGCAGGGTGATACAGACAGAAGGGGGCTATGAGTCTGTCCTCCTCCTGCAGGGTGATACAGATAGAAGGGAGCTACGAGTCTGTCCTCCTCCTGCAGGATGATACAGATAGAAGGGAGCTATGAGTCTGTCCTCCTCCTGCAGGGTGATACATAGAAAGGAGCTATGAGTCTGTCCTTCTCCTGCAGGGTGATACAGACAGAAGGGAGCTATGAGTCTGTCCTCCTCCTGCAGGGTGATACATAGAAGGGGGCTATGAGTCTGTCCTCCTCCTGCAGGGTGATACAGACAGAAGGGAGCTATGAGTCTGTCCTCCTCCTGCAGGGTGATACAGACAGAAGGGAGCTATGAGTCTGTCCTCCTCCTGCAGGGTGATACAGACAGAAGGGGGCTATGAGCCTGTCCTCCTCCTGCAGGGTGATACAGACAGAAGGGGGCTATGAGTCTGTCCTCCTCCTGCAGGGTGACACAGACAGAAGGGAGCTATGAGTCTGTCCTCCTCCTGCAGGGTGATACAGACAGAAGGGGGCTATGAGTCTGTCCTCCTCCTGCAGGGTGATACAGACAGAAGGGAGCTATGAGTCTGTCCTCCTCCTGCAGGGTGATACAGACAGAAGGGAGCTATGAGTCTGTCCTCCTCCTGCAGGGTGATACAGACAGAAGGGGGCTATGAGTCTTTCCTCTTCCTGTGATTTGTGATTACAATGTCTTTGATTCTTATTTTGTTTCTCCGCAGATGTTGTGTCCATCTTGCAACGCCATTCGGGCGGGTGGTAAAGGTTGCTGTGGGGAGGGATGCTGCGGAAATCGTTGCCGGGTAGGTCTATTTGCATAAATATTAAAGGAGTTGTAGTCCCAGCATCTCCTCTCCTGTTATGACATCATGTAATAGGAATACATAGTAGAGTTGTTTCTGATAATACAATCAAAGCCTACTTGAGAAAACCCCTTTTATGTAGTGAGTGTTGCCTTCCGTCTGCCCATCACTTCCAACAACTTCCTGGATTCCCAGTGTGATTTGCGTCTCTTTCCCTGCTATTTGATGTGATGGAATCTCAATTTCTCAAGACTACATATCCCATCATGCATTGCTTCCAGCAAGCAATGATAATGTTACATTGTTCAGACGTTGAGTTGTAGTTCAGAAGGCAGGCTCTGTGAGAGCCGTGTCACCAGGAAGTGCATATTCACAGGGCTGAGTGAGATGGTGCCACTGCATTGAGGAAGTCCATCCTATGGGAATCTCCAATAAGTAAACTTACAAACTTCTAGATGGGTATGGTTATTAGTAGGGAATGCACGAATACTGATACTAGTAATGGTGCCGATACCGAGTATTTGGGCGAGTACTCATACCCAAATGCTCCGATACTTATACCGATACCGGAACTGACTTCCTCTACACGGCAGTGCCATGAGGGAACACGAAGCAGGAAGCCATGCCGCGTGTAATGACTCGCGGCCGGGCTTCCTGAGTGGCCGGAAAGCTGGCTCCATGCTGTTTGGCCGGCTCCATGCTGATTGGCTGGGAAGTAGCCTTTCTGGCCAATCAGCATCGAGCTGGCCAACCAGCATGGATAGGAGTGGAATAGAATTTATAGAAATTCAATATAGGAACACAGGTTTATGTTTAGCTTTTCACCATAGATACATTGATTGTAGCTGTGCTTGTTGTTCTGGTTAACATTTGATGACCTCGTCTCTGTAGGAGGTTCGGCTATATGTGTTGTGACATATAAAGTTATAGTAGTGACAGGTTGATAGACATTTTTAGCAGCATTTATGTCTCTGTGTTGGTAGATTAGTTTATGATCAGTGCGGTTAGATTAATTCTTCTCATCATACAACACAAGGCCAAAAGTAATTATTCTTCTTTGTTTCTTTGTCTCCAACAATATTTAGAACACTATATGGTCAAACACTTGTGAACATCTAGCCATCACACCTATATGGGCTTGTTGGACATCTCATTCAAATTATTATAGGGTTGGCCTCCCTTTGTGACTATTGCAGCCTTCACTCTTTCCACCAGATTTTGTATGGTGCCTATGGGAATTTGTGCCCGTTTGTGAGGTCTGTTACTAATGTTGGATGAGAAGACCTGGCTTGCCATTGGCGTTCCAATTCCTCCCAGAGGTGTTCAGTAGGGTTGAGGTCAGGGCTCTGTACAGGACACTCCAATTTCTCCACATCATACTGGTCAAACCATGTCCTTATGGCGCCGGCTCCACCCTTCTGAGAAGGCTTTCCGAGACATTTTAGAGGGTGTCTGTGGGAATTCGTGCCAGTTTGTGAGGTCTGTTACTAATGTTGGATGAGAAGACCTGGCTTGCCACTGGCGTTCCAGTTCATCCCACAGGTGTTTAGTAGAGTTGAGATCGGAGCTCTGTCCAGGACACTCCAGTTCCTCCACACCAAACTGGTCAAACTGTGTCTTTATGGAGCTGGCTCCACTCTTCTGAGAAGGCTTTCCAAGACATTTTGGAGTGTGTTTGTGGGAATTCGTGCCCATTTGTGATGTCAGGTACTGATGTTGGATGAGAAGACCTGGCTCACAATTGGTATTCCAGTTCATCCCAAAGGTGTTTAGTTGAGTTGAGATCGGAGCTCTGTCCAGGACACTCCAGTTCCTCCACACCAAACTGGTCAAACCATGTCTTTATGGCACTGGCTCCACCCTTCTGAGAAGGCTTTCCAAGACATTTTGGAGTGTGTTTGTGGGAATTCGTGCCCATTTGTGATGTCAGGTACTGATATTAGATGAGAAGACTTGGCTCGTCATTGGATCTCCACTTCATTACAAAGGTTTACAATAGGGTTGAGGTTAGGTCTAAGTGCAGGACACTTGTGTTCCTCCACACCAGACTCATCAAACCATGTCTTTATGGAGCTGGTTTGCACATGGGGACAGTCATGGTGGAACAGAAAAGGGCCTTCACCAAACTGTTACAAGAGGAGCACAATCTACAATGTCTTCATATGCTGCAGCATTAGCAGTAACCTTTATTGGAAACATCCGAACCTACTTGTTTGGAGGGTCCACATCTTTCTGACCATATACTGTAGTGCTCCTTGTAAAAACTCAATCTTGTGTGTTCTTCACATTGTGATTTGCTTTGTAGGTAACCTGTCTAGTGTCCTGTATATATTTAGCATTTATTTGTTCTTGCCAGTCAAAGTTCATTGAGTTTGATTATAGGTAGCTCAGTGCACACTGTTCCTGGCTCCTCATTGTGCACTTTGATCCTATTAACCTTCCATTATCAGGAGCTGTAGGAGTAACTGGAGGATGGAACTAGCCCTGTACAGGATGGAAAATTCTCATAAATCAAAAGAAAACTACAGTCATTTTCCAAGAAAAGATAAAGGGAGTAGCAGAAATTCCATCTTAACTAGCTGCACTCCAGCTCCTTTTATTCTTCAGCTTCAGCCTTTTAATTTAAAAGCTTTGTAATGTGCCCATGGACAAAAAAATATTTATTTTGGTTCTGCATCCTAAGATTTATTTATTTTTCTATTTGTTTTGTTGGCCACAAAGCAATTAGGAAAATTACTTTTTTCCAGTGTGACCACTGATAAAAACAACATGTGTAGGTACATATATACACAGAGTGGCCAGTTTATTATGACCACCTGACATTTGTAGGCAAATGAGCTATAATTTGGCGCTGAAGTTGGTAGAGGGCCAGACCATTATAAATAGGGAAGCAGGTTGGTTACCACGACAGTAGAAGTGATTTGTTTCTGAAGAAACGGGGAAACAAGGCGATTTAACAGCCTTTGAACGCGGGATGATTGTTGACGCTCGGAGCCATGGAGCGAGTATCAGCAAAACAGCAGAATTCGTTAAATGTTCAAGAGGGGCTCATTGTTAAAGTGTTTAAAGACCGGACTGTCAGCCGAAAATCTGGGTCTGAACGTGCGAATTGTTGCCGTCAGCGACTAGTCAGTGTTGGGGCAGAGCGGAGAGTGGCAAGACTGGTACAAGACAACAGAAGGGCAACAGTGCCGTGTCAGATTCCTCGCATCACCTTTCATCATCTCGTGGAGTCACCAGGCGGCCCAACAAAGTACTGATGGGGTGGTCATAATAATCTGGCCACTCAGTGTACACTCATTAGGTACATCTGTTCAACTGCTCGTTATCGCAAAAATCTAATCAGCCCATCACATGGCAGCAACTCAATGCATGTAAGCATGTAGACATTGTCAAGACGATCCGCTGAAGGTTAAACCGAGCATCAGAATGGGGAAGAAAGGTGATTTAAGTGGCTTTGAATATGGCGTGGCTGTTGGTGCCAGGCGGGCTGGTCTGAGTATTTCAGCAAATGCTGATCCACTGGGATTTTTACACACAACCATCTCTCGGGTTTACCGAGAATGGTCTGAAAAAGAGAAAATATCCAGTGAGTGGCAGGTCCCTGGGTGAAAATGCCTTCTTGATGTCAGAGGTCAGAGGAGAATGGGCAGACTGGTTTGAGATGATAGAAGGGCAACAGTAACCCAAATAACCACTCGCTACAACTGAGGTATGCAGAAGAGCATCTCTGGATGCACCACACATCGAACATTGAAGCAGCAGCAGAAGACCACACCGGGTGCCACTCCTATCAGTTAAGAATGGGAAACTTAGCCTACAATTCACGAGGACTCACCAAAATTGGACACTAGAGGATTGTCAACGGTTCAGGCTGGTGGTGGTGGTGTAATGGTGTGGGGGATATTTTTTGGCACACTTTGGGCCCCTTAGTACCAATTGTTTAAATGCCACAGCCTACCTGAGTATTGTTGCTGACCAGGGCCATCCCTTTATGACCACAGTCTACCCAATGGCTATTACCAGCAGGATAATATGCCATGTCACAAAGCTAACATTTTCTTAAACTGGTTTCTTGAACATTATGACCACGGTGTACTCATCTTCTGATGACTCCGTCCAGCAGGATAATGCACCATGTCACAAAGCTCACATCATCTCAACCTGGTTTCTTGAACATGACAATGGGTTCTCTTTACTCAAATGGCCTCCACAGTCACCAGATCTCAATCCAAAAGAGCACCTTTGGAATGTGGGAGATTCAACATCATTCATCATGGATGTGCAGCCGACAAATTTGCAGCAACTTCGTAATGCTATCATGTCAATATGGACCAAACTCTGCAAGGAATGTTTCCAACACCTTGTTGAATCGATGCCAGGAAGAATTAAAAGGAGAACTATGAGGTGAGTGAAAATCAGTTATCCTCATAGTTTGAGCCGACCTGTGATAATGAAACTGTCACACGTCGGCTCAGTAGATCGGGAAGTGAGCGAACGCATACCGTCACTAGCTCACTTCCTGATCATCTCCCTGCAGAGAGCGGTGACTGTTAGTCACGGCTCCCTGCAGGGATTTCTCCCCCCCACTCCGATTCTCCAGCACTGACTGTAGGAACAGACGGTGGAGGGGGCGGGCAGAGCAGAGCCAGCTGTCATTCACGCAGCTTGGTGGATCTCAACAGCGTTGTCGGAATCTGGCCTGGCTGCGGCGGTCTCAGTATACAGCAAGCTGTAGCTTGCAATATACTGAGCTTTGAGTCACGGGAGGAGGTTAGTATATGTCCTCCCGTGACCCTTAAGAGAACTATGGGGAAAAACACTTACCCCATAGTTCTCTTTTAAGGCAGTTCTGAAGACGAAAGGGGATCCAACCTAGTACTAGCAAGGTGGACCTTATGAAGTGGCCAGTGAATGTAAAGTACCTGTTTTATTCTGTTCCATTTATTATGACACCAATATGATGTTCCTGGTACAAAGTGTGGCACAGCCTATACTTTTTTCCAAATACTGCTAACAAAATAAGAATAAGGGGAACAAGTAGATTAAGTAGTTAATAAGAGCTAGCTAAGGGCATAACAAGGGGTCAATAGAAGATGTTGTCTAGAAACGTTTTTTATTTCAAAATAAAATAGCTTTTTTTTAAATATATTTAATATATTTATTTATGTTATAATATATTTTCTAATATATTGTAAAGCTTATCTCCAATTAAAAATATACCCTTGCAGCTTAGGGGTACTTCCCCTGCAAGGGTATTTAGTTTTTAAATTGGGCTTTAAAATATTTTCTAAAAAAAGCAATTTTTATTTTTTTAATACGGTTTTATACGGTTTTGTACGGTGATTCTGTACAGGACTTCTTTCCTGATCTCCGCCCCCTCCAGGCTCCAAGACTGGTGCCCGCAGCCTCTTTCCCCTTACATTAGTCAGAGGTCCACTGACATGATCGTGCAGGGTCCATAACCCTACATTATAGGTGAACATCCCAAGGGACAGTCCACGTGACGGAGTGGAGAGAGTTGAGCGCCGACAGCCAGGGGAGTGGGGATCAAATAAGTCAAACTGCTTTACAGAATCCCCCTAGACCAGGGGTGGGCAACTCTGGCCTTACAGCTCTTGTGGAACTAGGAGGCATTGCAGGACAGACAGTTACAGGTATGACTCCCAGAGGCATGTTGGCATTTGTAATTAAAGCACAGCTGGAGGGCTGGAGTTGCCCACCTCTGCTCTGGACAAAAGACAGCAGTTAACCCTTGCAGGATTGGGATGGCCGCACTGCAAGGGTAGATTTTTTTTCACCCCAAAAAAGGCTTTAAAAGTTGTTTTAGAATCTCCGTTGTAGAATAATAGATATGTTGCGATGATTGCCCTGACCAGCTACAATGTATCACTATTTATTTAATCTCACACTAGCACTGAGCAGACACCCGGACACCCGCTTCTGCTGATCAGTGTTGAAAATGCAACTCTGGTTCACTGGTTGACTCCTCGGCTGTCAGACTGAAGCAGGTCTTGGCATCTACAGCCCTGGGGGTTTGCCCGAAGGACTCTAGGATGTGTGAGGTAAAGCCTAAGTCCTTAGCCTATCAATAAATAATAATAATAATTACCTATAAGACTTATGATGTCACACAGGGGGCTGGGCTTCCTGTTGTAGAAGAAATGGTGAACCAGTAAGAGATCCTTTGGACTGCTATATTGGTTCAATTAAGCAGTCTGTATTCACTGTTGAAGCCAATGACATTATCTTCGTGAACTCCATTCCAGACCTGACCTGCTGAATTTGAGGTGGGTCTGACTCTTGCACACTTTTACTTATTCTGATCATCGTAAGTACAGTTGACCCCAACACTAGACCCCAACACCTGATCAACTCCTACAAAAGCATGCTAACCTGATCGGTAAGTATTAATTGGCTTGAAAGGCCTCTGAAAACTAGTGATCCAGAAATATCACCATGAAAGTATGCAAGAGCAAATATGGGACACATGTGAAAGTAACAAAACACATTACCCTACTTGTGTTCTTCCTGAAGTGTAGTTGCTCTTTAATTTAGCCTTGATAATGGCAACCAAACCTCGACATGTACAATACACTTTAGTAATGATGGATCGATATTCTGATTATTCATCTGCATTTCCTGTCTCATTTCAGATGCTGCGGTCATTAATATCTTCAATCTTCGGAGGTCTTGGGAGCTTCTACTGCGTGGCGGTCTCCGGGACTGCCCTGAGCAATGGGCCTTTGTGTGCCCTCACCAATCAGACCGGAAACGCCGCCCAGTGGGGTTACCACTTCAAGGCGATGGAGTAAGACCATTTCTAATGACTATGAAAGAGACCCTGTCACATCATTAAACTCAATACTCACCTCTCCTGCCTCCCACGTTTAATGATGTGACGGGGTCTACTACTTAAACAACCGGCACAACATAAACCCACAAGCTGGTTTAGAAAGAGCATTTTAAAAAAAACATTTGTCCACTATACTCACAATAGTATTAGGGTTGTCAGAATTGGAGATACCTTGTTTCCCCGAAAATAAGACACTGTCTTATTTTCTTTTTTGCACGAAAAAAGACACTAGGTCTTATTTTTGGGGGATGTCTTACCTGGCTGGGGAGGACTGGACGTCCCAGAAGGCGGTGTGCTGTTGCCGGTCCCGGTGTGATGTTATGCCGGTTCCATCGTTGTGGGCGGGCGTGTGGGCGGGACGGGAGCTGCAGCCGGCTAAAATTCAGTTTATGTGCCGCTACCCCGAAAGTAAGACCTAGCGGATTTCTGCAATATAAGACCTACCACCGAACTAGGTCTTACTATCGGTGTAGGTCTTACTTTCGGGGAAACACGGTACCTGAAGGCAAACAATGATACCATTTTATTTTTTAAATGAACACATTTTTAAAGTGAGGTTTTAAATCTGTTTATGCAATTTGTACTCCACAAATAAATAATTTTTCCATGCAGGGTGCACCCTTGACACAAGGATCAGAAAGAATTATGGGCTTGCTCAAGGCAGACTACAGCAAAATCTGTTTGCCTTCAGACCCTCTCATCCTGGTGCCCCCTTCTCTCTCTCTCTCTCTCTCTCTCTCTCTCTCTCTCTCTCTCTCTCTCTATCTCTCTCTCCTTGATTGAAATTTTGGATAGAAGCTATTGAACAGAACAGTCATGGAGGGGGGAAGGATAATTTTTGTGGTGTGTATACATTTTGCACTCCTGAGCAGTTTAAACATCAGAATTTTTTCAACAAAGCAGCTAAGAAGTAGCAGGGAACATGTCAAAAGGGAACCTAGACTGCCACTTGCAGGCTAGAAATGTATACATACATATATATACATATATACACCGAGTGGCCAGATTATTATGACCACCTGACGTTTGTAGGCTAATTAGCTATAATTTGGCGCTGAAGTTGCTAGAGGGCCGGACCATTATAAATAGGGAAGCAGGTTGTTTACCACGACAGTAGAAGT